TGCTAAGAGTTGATGTTACTATGGTCTGTGATGTTGAAGTTATTGTTCTCCATTTTTGTGCCAACTCTGGCTATTTCCTGAAGGACTCATGCAGGCTAGACTAAGCATAATCAGCTCTGTTAGAGGTCAGGGCACCATGAGTCTGCTCACTGCTCTTTGTTGTCCTGTGCTCTTCCTGGCCTTTGACCCCATGCAACCTTTCAGAGACTTCAACTCATATGCAGGACTCACCATGCAGCCTCAGGCATTTGGTCACATCACTTGTTATGCCTCAGTTTCCCTGATTATGAGAGGAGGGTACCAGAAGGAGCTTCACATTCCTTCTGGCTCCAACATGCCAGTTCTGTGAGCCATTCAAAGGCTGAGTATACCATGGAAGGCTGGACTGAAAGAGATGGCTAGCAGCATTCACTGCATTTGTGTTCTCCATGTGTCCATGTGTCATGGCGTGGTCCATGTATTGTCCAGCACAGACAGGGCTGGGGTAGAGAGACAAAGCGAAGAGGACCAAGGGCTGGTCCTTACAGCTCAGGGACGAAACTCTTAGTCTTGTGTAAGCAATTGTGCAAGGCTGGCACTTTGCTGCATAAGGTGGCTGTGGGGTACGATCGTGTACAGATAAAGCATCCAAATGCCACCTGGAAGGAGAGTGCAGGTGTTAGATAGGAGAGTGGGCACCTGGGAGGATTCACTGAACTGTGATTTGAGTTTGGGGACTGACTGGGAAATGGGTGCCAAGAATAAAGTGAGACGCAGAGGAGTCAGTGGGAAAGGTATGAATGCCATGCACAGGCAGAGAGGTACCCACCCCTCAATCCATCGGTTGGAAGTGGGGAGGCAAAGTTTCTAACAATGCGTTCCTTCAGAAAATGGCTGCCGAATCCCAATTGTGGAGTGCGTAGTGTTTTCTAGATTACAGGATGCTGTATGAACGGGCATGGCATCAACTCTGACCTTGGGCTCTTGACATTTGAAACCTTGTGGAAACATTGACATGTACATCAGGCTAGAGGAAACAATTTATGAGTTCCATGCACCCACAGTGTAGGGCCAGCAGTGACTAATTGTGGCCATCTTGTTTGCTCTCTAGACATTACCTGACTTCGTAGACAGGGTACAACTTTGCCATGTGAGACTGTTCAACCAGTACCAACAGCATTCCATTATCCAACCCAGCCAAACTGGTGACAGCCACTCTGTTCCCAATACCTTGTGCATTTGGCTATTTCACAGCTGGTTTGTTCAAATCAGCATACAAATGCGGTGGACACCATCTTGATTGTCCCCTTGATTTTAATTTATAGAGTGGCTGAGTGAAAAGTAGTGCCACTAAAGGAAGTTTGTTACTCACAGCCTCCAAGATAAGAGAGACAGTTGTACATGGTGGGAGCCAGGTGGGAAAGGACAGGGGAGAGCAGGGGTGGGGCGGGGTATGCTCCAGAGTGATGCTGGATGAACTAGGATCATGCTCTGACCTGTACATGCTGATCAGGTTCCAGGTGGCATCAGCTGCTCTAAAATGACTATTCTGGCCAGTTTCCCCAGAGAACACAAGGCTCTCGTGCATATGTGGATGTATGCATATCTGTTACTCAGTGCTCAAGGACTTGGGCCTTAGTACCTGAGACAGTCTTACCATACATACATGTCTTGATGGCACCATGTGACAATGATCACATTCAGCATCCCCGTGATGTCCCTTTGTTCTGCATAGTGTGCTCTATTTATTTATTTATTTGTTTATTTATTTACTTACTTATTTAGTTTGTCTTCTCCATACAATACTTGTATTGTCTGGGATCAGATTCTTACCAGTCATGTCAGAGATGTCCCATGTCTTTTGACACATCACATGCTGAGGGAGACCCAGACTCAGAAGGGGCAGCCATGGAACCACTTGCATGGCTAATGGCACTTCCTTCTCAGATTGCCATGGCTGGAGATACTTCTCCAGGTCTCTGCAGCACAGGGCCTGGGCAGCTTTGGACAGCAGTGGGAGATAGCTGTCTGTTCAGCTCTGGTGCCATCTTTCCATGGAGAAGCCTAGGAACCCCTCACTATCCAGGTGCAATGTTGATCCCCTGCTTAGCCAGGCATTTGATAATTTAGTCTTTGAGAAAGCTGCAGGGAACAGTTGGTTGGTAAATTCAAGCATAAAATTATATCTGAATGTGTTTTTCAAAGTGGATGCCATGGAGATATGAGAGTGTCTTATGGTCTGTGAAGTCTATCTAAGTGTCCTGCAGGAGGCAAGACCATAATCTTCCTAGATGTCTTAGTATGAAGCAAACATGGACCAAATCTTCTGGCTGTCTGCTGAAAATATGTATCAGAGATTTCCAGAAGCAGTCATCAGAGGCAAGATTCTCACTTGAGTTTAGTTAACATTGCAACTATTTAGTTTATTTTGCAACTATTATCTTCAAAGACATTTGTCTAGAGCTTCTCAGTGTGGGCAAATGTCAACAGCTATAACCCACTTATGATATGGCTTTGGTTATTTCCAGATGTTAAGTGGACCTGAAATGGAGCTATTTGAGAAGTGTGATTTTTTTTTTTAAATAATTTTTTTATTTTTTGAAAGTTTTATTTACATAATGGACATTGATCATATCCATCTACCACTACTTCCCTCCGACTCCCCTTGGTCCCCAAACCATCTCCATCCCAATTTCATGTCCTCTTTTTCATTGTTGTTAATACCTCTAAATTTAATTAGTGCTACCCATATGTGCATGGGTCTGAGTCCTTCAGCTGCAGTATGGGTAACCTATCAGCAGCCATGTCCCCAAAGGATAGTGTCTCTTTCTCCCTCAATACCCATTAACTGCTGGCATCTCTTCCAGTAGGGGTACATCCTCTGGGGCCCCTGACCCATCATGCTGGGATTTCGATCAGTTTGATCTTATACAAATAAATATAGCTGCTGTTAGTTGATCTGGTGTGACATGCCCACTATACACAAGTTAGCATTTCACAGATTTCCTCCCCATCTTACATTCTCTCTGCCCCCTCTTCTGTGAAATTCCCGAGCCTTGGATGGTGGAGATTGATAGCAATGACCTACTCATAGCTGAACAATGTTATTTGTACTCAGCCCATTAGCCATTTATGAGTCTTCTGTGTTACCACTACCCACTGCAAAAGGAAGCATTTTTTTTTTTTTTTTTTTTTTTTTTTTTTGGCCAAAGTTGAGAGAAGCCAAAATCTATGATATAAACATAAATATTTAGAATATAGTACAGTTTGAAATAGTATGACCATTTGAGAAAATATCATCAGTAAGTTCCCTGCTAGGGCTTTTGACCATGTGTAGAGCACCAGGCATGAATTCCCTTCTGTAAAGGGGGCTCCATATCTAGTCAGAAAGTGATTGGGAAGCTGCATAACCATTGTGCCACTATTGCACTAGTGGACACGTCTTGCCAGCAGGTCAATATTGCAGCATGTGCATGCAGCACTGGGTAAGATCGTTGATTCTTTTCCCCCAGCAGTCTGCACAGCTCTGGCACTGTGTAAGCTAGCCAGCTGGGACTGTTTCCTGAGTGAGGTTGATTTCTATGTCCTGCATCCAAAGTCAGTGGTGTCTTCAGTGATAGGGTCTTGCCATCAGTTACTGTGAGCAACCAAGAGCATTTCTCATGGCATGTGTTATTTGGGGTGCCTCTGGGGCCTCTAGGACCAATAACTCAAAGAGAGGTATCCAGTGCATGGCACTAAGATTTTCATTTAAGAACCCATGTCTTCTGGAAGCATGTTGTCCACTTCTGTTCAAACAATTTAAAAATATATAGCATATTTGTAGAAATTAACTTAGAAACTATTCAATTTCGTATGGTTTCTTCTCAGATCCTTACTTTTGTTAATCTGCCCACTACCCTATCCTTTCCTGAATCTCCATATCCCTACTTAAGCCTTTAATCCCAAGTATTTTCTCTTCATGCCACCTGCGTTCTACTACCCCTTTTAACTGAATTACTCTAAAAATGTTTATTTTGCACATGTGTGGGGAGGGTGCCATGGTGTGTGTGTGGGGGGTGGGTGGGTGTGGGTGTGTGAGTGGGTGGGTGGGTGGGGTTAGAGACCACCTTGCAGGATTCAATTCTCTCCTTTCACCTTGTGAGTCCGGGTGTTCAAACTCAAGTGGTCAGGTTTGGTGGCAAATGCCTTTACCCACTGAGTCATTTTCCTGGCTCTAAAATTGCATGTTCTAATGATTTCTGTGAAATAAAAATGACAGTCACAATGATATGTGAATCTGTCAGCATGTGTCAGGTTTCAGAATAATGTGTAACTGTCTCTCTTGATCCTTACTGAAATCCACCCATCCTTCCTGGGGTGCAGTGTCTCAGATCTTCCCAAGGGGCTATCCATGTCACCTGCATGGATGTTCAAGAGGACACTGTGAGTGATTCCCCCCTCCCCAGAGGTGCTGTGACAGCATGAGCAGTCTTAACCTGAATATCCAAACTGTCAAATTCTTCCAAAGTCAAGACTTTGAGCATCATGTGACAGTCAAAAACTTTAGGAATTTGAAGCTTTTAAATTGGGTATGCGCGGTCAGCAAGGTCTATGCCAGTCTTTCTAAATCCGACAATAATGAAAAAGATCAAAGCGCTGCTAGCTCTTAGCATTTCACATGTGGGGGACTCAGTATGCATTCTTCACATCTTAATATAAATGAGAGGTTCAGAGCCGTAGATCCTTCTAGATTGCATGCCTTCTAGAAAGGCTGGACCATGGTTGGGGTGGAGGGAGCACTGTGTAAGTTAAGTGTATAAGGGTACATTCCTAATATGTGGCCTTACTCCTGGACCTTGTAGGTCTGTGTAGTGTTGGCTAAATGGAGAAGGTGGGAGAGATTCATGATCCCAATAGAAAAAAGTGAGGGTATTGGGGGCTGTGAGGGCAGCATCCTTATGAGTCTGACCCTGGCCACTGAAGGTCATACTCATCAGCAGCAACTCTGTCAATTATCTTGTGCTGTGCTTTTCCCAAAGGAGAACCACTGTCGCCGCATCAAGATCCTGGGGGACTGCTACTACTGTGTGTCGGGCCTCACCCAGCCCAAGACGGACCACGCCCATTGCTGTGTAGAGATGGGGCTTGACATGATCGATACCATCACGTAAGTGTTGTATTGTCACCCTTTCGTCTAAGGCTGCAGAGGCCAAGGCTGCAGTAGGAGGGGGCTGGGTCAGAGTGACCCACCTGCATTGGGAGGTGATGCACTGGCTGGTGAGCCTTCCTCTCAGTTTACAGTGGATTTCTCTGTCCACAGAAATCCTTTCTGTGTCTAGTGTGCCTTTGTAACTGAGCTCAGTGAGACTCGGAGGAAGGCTGAGGGCACATGCCCATGCAAAGCCAGCCATTGTTCTTCCAGGCTGTCGATTGCCTCTGATGCTCGGTGGGGAGAGGGGCCTGAAGTCTGGGTGTGTGAGTTCCTGTGCAGTGGGTTCTCCTGTGAGACCCAGCCTGCTTTTCTTGATCAGCCTAGCTGTCCTTGTCAGAGATGAAGTTGGATTCCAGTGTGGGACTGATGGACAAAGGTAGATCCAAATTCAGACATCTCAGCTGGAGTGTTGGGTGGCATCCATGAGATGTTTTCAGGGATTGGTGTGAAGGCCATGCTTAGAGGAAAGTACTGGCAGACAAGTTATTCAAGGGAGACATGAAGTGGCTGCCACATGTCAGAATCCACACTGTGGTTGCCTGCTCTGCAGGGAACAGCTCTCCAGGATCGCCCCTATGACTGAGAGCCGAAAGGCTCCATGGTGTCACCCGTATTCTTACGGATTCCAAGCACAGTGATTTGGTGTTCAACAGGAGCCCAGTGAATCTGGCACACGTTGTCGAGGCAAGGACAAAAGGTATTCCTAAACCCGGCAAAACCAAGATGAGGCAGCGTCATCTCGTCTTTGGGCTTCTTTTCTCTTTATGTTTAAATTAGGAAACAATTGATGAATTGAAGTGTGAAAATGTCATAATGGAACCCACTGCTTTTACATCTATATACACTAATAACAAAACGGGGGTGGGGGGGGAGAAGAGAGGTGATTGATGAAACCTGGTGGCTGGTGAGATGTGGATTTGACATGGTGACTCCACCCAGCACCACTAGTTCATGGCCGTGTCCTCAGTAGGGGTGTGTCCCTGTAAATGTAGAAGACAGGCTCAGTGTACTGGGGGCCTGAAGCACAGCATGGCGACAGTCCATCATTGTGTCACACTTGATATCATACATCACAGATAGACAGACAGGTCACATATTTTACCAGGTCCTATTTGATGACACCTGATTCGGGGACAATGAGGCTTTGTACATGGAGGCTCTGAGACAGGGTGTACTACGCCGATCCAGGGAAAGCTAGGTGGGTGCGCCAGCTGACTGGGGTGACCAGGCGGCTCACAGTGGCTTTGTGCCCTGCAGGCTGGACACCCTTCTTCCTGTGCTGTCTGGCAGCTTTACTTCCCACCTGGTCCTCTCTGTGGTCAGGGACCTTATTTCTCACTTGGGCTCGGCCTTCCTTTCCTTCTGGTCTGTCTTGTGAGGTTGGCATGCGCTTCGATGCTAAGCCATTTCTGTGTAGCGCCACATCTGCCTGTTGAGGCTGAGATGGTGTCTTACCACCCTTCCCAATGTGATCTGCTTCGTGGTCTCCTCGATGTTCCTCCAGTATTTCAGCTGGAGCTGTCTGACTATCTCTGGCTCTGTCATGAGAGACTGAAGAGTCTCAAGGCATGGCGGTCTTGTCCTAGCCTTCCTGGACTGCTTTCCACTCCATCCTAAGGTCCTCTAGCCTCAAGATCCCTAGAGTCTTTCTGAGACCTGAATTTCTGGCTCTGGCCTGGGAGGAACAAGCAACTGAATTCATCCAAGAGACTGCTAACAGCCCTTTTTCCTGTGGGAAGAGCCAGGGATGGTCCATGTGTGCTCGGAATTGGCTGGCCTCTGGAGCTCCCAGGAAGATTCCATATGGCAACTGGCACCTTCCCTGCTGGCCATACCAGCCTGCATGTGCCCCTGTTGCAGAGGGGTCCACAGAAACACACAAGGCAGAACATATTTATCAAGAGGGCAGACATGTCCAGGCAAAGCACAGTATTCATGTGGTTTTGTTTCTTGACCTTGTTGAGCATCTGAGATGTTTGGAAACACTGTGATTCTTGGAGAAGAACTCAGAAGAATAAGTGAAGTGCCCGGAGCTCATACATGTGCATAGTGCCATGCTGGGCCATGTACCATATGCCCCAATGTGGGGGCAGTGCCTACGCCCTTAGCCCCATCTTCCTTCTGTCTTGAGCCATGTAGATCAGGATCTCCTCCTAATATCTAGAGGAAACTTCAAGGGTTTGGATTCTTTGATTCTGAAATGACCTCTTTTTCAAAAAGGCCTTGAGTGGCAGAGAGTGTGTCCCAGTGACCAGTAAATAGCTAAGCCTGTGGGCCAGAAATGCCCATTTCCAGGGGCAATGGGTCTTCTGACTATACTGAGAACTTTCTGAGACTCAAAGACCAGCATGGTTATTGGAAGATCCTGGAACTATTTCCTGCACATCTCTTAGTTGCACGGTGCAATGATGGCATGGGAGGCCAGGACATCCTGACCCAGCTGGGTTGGGCTCCATGATCAGCTGTTAAGAACAAACGAGGCTTTGCTGGCAGCACCTGTGCCAGGACTCCGGGATGGTGAAAGCAAGCCAATCATTTCGACACATGAGAATAGGATGGGCCGGAGCAGGGAAGCAGCGTGGACTAGAGGGGCAGGCGCTGCCGCAGGTATGGATGCAGATAGAACTCTGCTAGATTGGTCCTGCGCTGGAGGGGTCAGGACACTTTCCTTGTCAGTGGCATTAACAATCTGGTTATTTTGCTTCTTAGACTGTTCACACACTCACTTTTTCTTTTCTAACCTTTAAACCCAGGCCATCCATGCCTGTTTTCTGGTCATTGATTGGTTCAGAGGTCAAGGGCATTGTTTGTCCGAGGCCTTCAGTCACAGACAGCTCTGGAGTGGATCCAGAATGGGGCAACGAGGCCCCGTAAAGTGTAGGGCCTTTGTGGTCCTCACCTTTACATCCCTGCAGTGCAATACCCAAGAAGAAAGGGCTTCAGGGCCATCTCCTTGGCTGTAGTTCCTCCCTACCCTAAGGGTGAGGCTTCCCCCAACCCCGCTGGCCTTATTTTGATGGGCATCTCAGGGATTTCTATGCTGCTCAGGCCCCAGGATAACCCGTCCTAAGCTCTGTTCCCAGATGCTTCTGAGGGTAGGCTTTTGGGACAGAGGTCACTGGAACTCTTCTCCCAGTGGTGAAATAGTTGAGCCTCTCCTCCCCGACCCGTGGTCTGTGTCTCCTCCCTTTCCTGCTACACCCCTCCCCTTCCACAGTGGACCAGACCTCCAGTATTCCTGAGTGACCCCAGAACCTCTGGTTGCTGAGGATGTAAAGGAGCTTGTGGGTTTCTGGTCCCCAGCCTGGGGTGATGGAGCATTCATCGAATGCTTCATCCTTTGGCTGAGTGGAGAAATGGTGTCTCTCAGATGCAGTAGCTGAGTGGGAGGATTTCAGCAGTCTCAGCTCGGGAGGGGATGATTCACCGGCCCCCAGACGGAAGGAGCTATCCCTAGAAGAGGGAGGCCTCTGCTGTGGGATTTCCCCAGGATTCCCTCCGCTGTGCTGCCCTGCCCGTGGTCTTGTTCAAGTCTGTCCACGTCACAGGGAAGCCCTTGCTGGCACAAGTGAGATGGGAACCGTGACCTAATTATTCTTCCCTGTGCCTTCCAAGTGCACAAAGTGCTTTCTTTTCTAACTAGATGTTATCTCGCCATGGTCTTGCTCTGGAGCTGTGTACATTTCATCTGTGAGGCTGAATTGGGAAATGCATGTGTCCCTCAGTGACCTAACTCTGAGCTGGTGAGGACAGCTTGTGCCATCAGTAAGTCACTGATGGATGCCCATGGTCCCTACGCTAAAGTTCTTACACCCAGGTGTTTCTTAAGTGGGCTGTGTGTGAGCCTCGGCACATACCCCAGTTTCTCAGTACAGACTAACTTTGAGGATCGCTTTGTCTAATTATTAGATTCAGGTGTTCAGAGTCAGCCCTGTGGATATGTTTAATTGGAGTTTTCTCTGGGGTAGAGGATGTTGTATATACTTCTGAATTTCCACTCACTACAAAATATTCTGTCCTAATGGGGATTCTGAGGCTATATATATTATAGCCAACAATTGCATTTTTACAGATGGTGAAGCCAAGACCCTGGAGGGAGAAGTTAGGAGCCCACGTGTTGAGGGCACAAGTTTGAATAGATGGCTGGAAGGAGCTGCTGTGTTCTTCTATCATGCTAGAATGAAGGCTGGGGGCTGCCTCAGACAAATGTGTTATCCCTGCTTCTGGGAAATTCTGCCTAGATGACAGCAAATCACTTTTTAGAGTGCCCATTCTTCCCGTTTTATTTTTTCTGTTGTGTGCATAGCTGTATCCATAGTGTTTGCAAGAATGGCTGAGCGAAGGGAATTCAGTAGGTTCTTGTTGAACAGAACACAGATTCTTCCTTTCATCCTTGCTCTAATTTTATGTCAGCCAGGATCTATGTACACAGAGGGAGGGCGGGCCCTGTACCTCAGTGTTGCTAGCTTCCTATTAGGATCCAGAACCAAATGGTGTCAGGACGGAATTATCACTCCATAGAAAATATTTGTAATAAGTAAACCGCTCTGAATAAGAAATATAGGATGGATAAAGCAGGCAGGGTGTGGAAATCCAGGTGTCCTGGAAATGAAGGAAAAGGTTTTGTTAGATTTGGACAAAACATGCCTGGGTCTAAGGGAGCCAAGAGGAGCCACAGCAGAACAGCTGGCTGTGCTGTCTCTTTCGAAGACGCTCTCCAGGGTGTGGTGGATTCCATCGTGCCAGCCTTGACATAGAGAGGTAGAAGCTGCCAGGAGAGGCTGAGTGTTGGCAGGTGTTGGGTGCCAGACGTGGGGGCCTTGTGGGCTTCTGTGGATCCCAGCTCATGAGGATCCAAAGCAGCTGGTTTGGAAGGCATAAGGGAGTATGTCCACATTTGTGGACACTGGCAAATGCATGTCCCAGCAGTACCCAGGCTTCCAGGCTGCCAGGCTGCCTTTCCTTTTGTGGCTGCGTTAACAGAAATGCTGAGTGTGCTCCAGAGCGTGAAGGGCAGGCGTGTCCACGAACTTGGCTCATGTGGGTTTGGGAATGTTGATCTTCTCTTTAGGGTTTCATTTCCATGTCTTATAGAAGACTGGCAGACAACTGGGAATAAAGTTAAAATTTGAAAAGTTTCGTTCAAGTGTAAACAGCAAAATGGATCTTAGACTTAGCAATAGTCTGGCTTCCATATAAGCCTCTGAGGTCACTGAGACTGATGGCGCTCTAGGAATGTTGACTCTGGCATCTCGCTTACCCAAGCACAGAGGCAGAGGGGCAGCTATCCTGTTTGGAAGGCAGCCCAGGGGAGTCCAGAGGGTGTGTGGATATGCAGGTGTTCAGGTGGGAGCAGGGTGGGCAGTTTGTACACACGTCACGGTGAAGGTTAGCCAGATGCAGGACAGGGGCAATACATACATGCCATTTTATTTCTGAAAATGTAAGCTGCAGCATCCTGCTAGGTGATACTGCAGAGCTGAGGTGGGGCAGGCAGAGGCTCACTGAAGGCTGCACTGCTTGCCATATGATCACATACCTTCCGTGACAAGGGGATGCTGTTCTCAGAGTCCTTCATGGGGCATTCCTGAGTGTTCTCTATTAGTGGAATAGAAGAAGCTGGCAGGAGGTGGTTTACATCTCCTGAATAGGGTGTGTCAGGATAGCTCTGAAGCAATCCCAGAGATCGTCAGAGCTAGTGTTGGCAGAGCCAGACTCACAGGTCAGGACACTGAGTCTCAGCGACCAATAGTGGCATATCCTCAGTTGTTCACATTGACTTTAACTCACTTTGTGCTTGCTCTGTCTTCATCCACTTCCCCAGAACCGTTTCCTGGGAGAGAAGATCTACACTGAGGTCCTGGGCTCATTTCCTTTTGGGGACTTCCCTGGGTGGGGAGGGGCGGGAGGAGGCTATGTTGGAAGCTCTCAGAGCTCGTTGCACATTGATGTGGCTGACTTTTAGCTCACAGGTGGGAGATGTGCTGCTGTCCTCTGACCAGACCTCTGCGCACCTGTCACATCACAAACCCAAGTAGACTGTTCCCTTTTGCACATGGCCTCCAACCCAGTGAGGTAGCTGCGAAGCAGCCTGCAGTCCTGTGCTCTATACCTGTGTTACAGATCCGTGGCTGAGGCTACTGAAGTAGACCTGAACATGCGTGTGGGGCTACACACCGGCAGGGTCCTCTGTGGTGTCCTGGGCCTACGCAAGTGGCAGTACGATGTATGGTCCAATGACGTGACCCTGGCCAATGTCATGGAGGCTGCTGGCTTACCTGGGTAAGTTGTATGTATGGGTGGAAGGTGATTGAGTGCCTTTGTTAGAGCCCTCATTTAGGGCTTTGATCCTGAGGGTACTTGGGGAGGGTCCGCTTTGACGCCCCATGGAACCCAGATGAGGTCTAGTGCACTTCCAGATCAGATCAGTGTGTATGGGGACTTCATCCCCATGCATGGGGCTATTCTCGTATCTTATTATTGCTTCTCTGTTTTATTTTCTCATACCTGTGCACGGAAAATGCCATAACTTTAGAGCCTCCCCTAGTGACTGTCAGTCATGCCCTGCCCACTTATTCCATCTCTCAGGTCAGCTGCAGAGTTTGAACACGAACTCAAGGCTTTTTCCTACAAGGAATTCAGAGAGTCTAGGAAGAGCTGGCCTGGCAGAGTTGGCTTGGATCTGTGACAGGCTGAGATTCCCATACCATTTCTCACTGCCCTCTGCTCTCTGACTACCAGCATCCATGATCTGCAGCTCCTCATTGGGATGGCTGTGAAGTTTTCTCCTTTCTTTCTTTCTTTCTTTTTCTTTCTTTTTTTTTTTTTTTACTCTGTTTTGTTCTCATCTTCCTATTATAATCTTCTGATTGTTTCTTTCTCTCCTTTGGGTCTCTCCCGGTCCTTTTTGGCCTTCTCCAGTCCTGTTCTGGCTCCTGGTGCATACCCTATCACTTGGCTTGCCTGGGCCTTCCTGTCCTTTCTTCCCAGGTTACTCATGCTTTGGAACACGAGTGCATATACCTCGGGAAATTTGCCCTGAGCAGAGCAACCTCTGCTGTGACCCCAGTGAGTGCCTCACCCAGGACCCCGCACAGCCACACTTGTGAGTTCACACTCAGCTTTGTATTCTTCTCTCACAGGAAAGTTCACATCACAAAAACAACCCTCGCGTGCTTGAATGGGGACTACGAAGTGGAGCCAGGTCATGGCCATGAGAGGAACACCTTCCTGAGAACTCACAACATCGAGACCTTCTTCATTGTACCATCCCATCGGAGAAAGGTGGGCAGCCTTATTCAGTCACCAAGCAGAGTGACCAACAGAGCTTTAGAGAAACAATGGTTCTTACCTCCAGCTCTCATTTCTGCTCCTCTGAATATGGCCCCAGAGATACTGGGTGCAAGGCTTTGCCTCATGTATATAGGAGGGGAGGGGTCCCTGGAAGATGCGGAATCTGGTTCAGGTTATGGGTTAGGTGATGTGCCTGTTCACATGAAGATACAGGTTTAATTGAGAGTGCAGGCTCATGCGAGAGCAAGTACATAGGTTCCTGCTTGCAAGAGACACCAAGCAACTTAACCCTGTAGTTCCTATCACTATTTAGGCCATGTTTCCAACCCAAGAGTCAAGATGTGCTTCATTGACAGTATTTCCCCTACCCTTGTGTTTGGATAGATATTTCCAGGCTTGATTCTCTCCGATATAAAACCAGCCAAGAGGATGAAGTTCAAGACTGTCTGCTACCTGCTTGTGCAGCTCATGCACTGCCGGAAAATGTTCAAAGCCGAGATCCCTTTCTCCAACGTAATGACCTGTGAGGATGACGACAAGGTAGGGATGGCTGAGGGTCATGGGGCACGGCTCCTGTCCTCCTGCCCTGTGCAGCTTGGCTGGAACACTCTTCACCGTTGACACCCTTATGATCTTGTGACACAGTCTGTATGTTACCTTGTGTTTATCCAAGTCTAAGCTCATATTCCCCACATGTCATTCAAGGAGCTCTGGTTAGTCATTTAGGTCTGCTTTAGCCTTGTAATCTTCAGCCTGATCCTCGTCTGAGCCTTCCTCTTCCTCTCCCCATGGGCTTCTGTGGTCCCATGCCCCTTACTTGGTTGGCTTCTTACTTCTCACATTACATGGGGAACATGAGAAAGGGTTCAGGAAGCAAGTGGGGGAGTGGGACTTGCATATGTAGAAGGTTCAGCTGGCATGACACAGCCTTGATTTCTAGCTTGGTGTGGTAGCCAGCCCAGGCTGCCATATCAAAAGAGTCTGGTCTGGGATGTGTAACCCACAAGCACTCACTCACTGGAAGCTAGAAGTTCAAGGCCAGAGTAACTACAGGCCTGTGCTCTCCTTGGCTTGCTGGAGCTATCTCTACTGTGTCCTATGATGGCAGGCATAGGGCTCTGGTGTCGTCGCTTCTCTTCTAAGGGCATAAACCCAACAGGACCTCGTCTAAAGGAAATCACCTCCTGAGTCCCCAGCTCTTCCATTGTCATGTGGGAGTTAGAGTTTCAACACATGGATTTGGGGGGGCTATGTACAGTTTCAGCCATCACAGTTGGCCGAGCTTTCTTCCTTTCCCAGCATGCTTCACTGCGTCCTGCCTTCCAGGGCTACTGCTGAATGCAGAGATGATCCAGTCCCCTGTAATATGGCACTTGTGTGTCCTTGGCCTTCCTTGGTGCCCCATCTTGTGCTGTCCACCTCACGACACTTTCACTTGGGTTACTTTGGGACTGGTACCCCATGTCCCCAGAGGACCTGTTTGGAAAGGAATTGTGTTGCCATTTCTTTGCCTCCACTTCCGTCTTCATTATTTGGATGTTAGAGCTCTTGAGCTGACTGAACTCTACCCCACTACCCTGCCAGCTCTTCTGGAAAGTTTTTCAACTTTATCATCTGTCTTAGTTGGGTTTCTGTTGCTATGACAAAACACCATGATCAAAGAGCAAGGTGGGGAGGAAAGGGTTTATTCAGCTTACACTTCCACATTGCTGCTCATCACTGAAGGAAGTCAGGGCAGCGACTCATACAGGACAGAATCCTAGAGGCAGGAGCTGATACAGAGGCCATGGGGGGAAGCTTGCTTCCCCTGGCTTGTTCAGCCTGCTTTCTCATAGAACCCAAGACCACCAGCCCAGGGATGGCACCACCCACCATGGGGCTGATCACTAGTTGAGAAAATGCCTTACAGCTGGATTTTAGGAAGGCATTTCCTCAAATGAGGCTCCTTCCCGTCTCATGACTCTAGCTTGTGTCAAGTTGACACACAAAACCAGCCAGTACATCATCCAACACTTCTATCGAGCTTTTAAATTCCTAAAAGTTCCAAGTACTGGTTGTTTTATGAATAATTCCCTTATGAAATTGTATTCCTATGTCAGAGACTGCAGGCTAGCTCATCCTTGCTATGTAGCTAAGGATGCCCTTGAACTTCTGATTCTCCTGTGTCTACCTCCAAGCACTGGGATTACAGATGTGTGCCATCTCATCTGGTTTTATCTCACGCAGGGGATCGGACCCAGGGCTTCACGGGTATGCCAGGCACGCACTACGACCCTAGCTTTTATCACTCACTGAGATTACTTTTAACTTTTATAATCCGTGTGGGTGGGTGTGGATGCGCATGCCTCTGTACCATGGGATGCATGTGGATGCTTGCAGAAGTTGTTTTTCTACTGCCACTATATGGGTTTTGAGACCCAAACTCAGCCATCAGACCCGGTGGAAGAAGCTTTCCCTGCTGAGCCATCTCACTGTCTCAAAGATTTTTATTCTATTTTATTTTTAATGGGTATGTGGCATGCGTGCCTGTTTGGGTGCATTTGTGTGTGTTGGGGGGGCATGCACTTGCGGACACATGCACGTGGAGACCAAAGGTTGATGTTGGGCATCTTCCTCAACTGTTCTTCACCTTATTCTTGGAGGCGGGGTCTCCCCCTGGTATCCAGTGCTCGCCCAGATGACTAGTCAACCGATTCAAAGAGTACCCTGACTCTGCATCCTAGCTCTGGAGTGATGGGTCAGCTGCCACACCCGCCTGGCTCTGACTTGGGTTTTGGGAGCTGCATTTCAGTCCTTACTCTTGCTGCTTGCATGCCAGGCTCTTTAGACACTGGCCTTCCCTGCAGCCCTCTCATGGAGATTTTTTAAAGAATTTCAGGTCCTGGAAACATCAGTGTTCTCTGAGCAACTTGTTTTTATCTTTTCCTTTTGGCTAGTCTGTCATCATTTGTAATCCCATTGATACCCAGAGTCCTTACTGCTTTGTTCTTGATGGACAGGATAGCAAAGATGGCTGCAGGTACCAAGCCAGGGACAGCTCTCCAATGCAGGCCTTCCTGTGGATGCCGGGGTTTTCTGTCTTGGTTGATCAGGCAGTCAGTCACTGTGGGTCTTCAGATCTTCTGGGCATGTGGTGCTGGTAGTGGTGGTGTCTCAGGCTTCAATTAAACCACACAGGGCCAGAGACCATGATGTCCTTTCTCGGGAAGACCTCACATTGTTTTCTACGGGAGGTATACCAAAGAGCATAGGGTGCACCTTAGCGCTCTAATGCCCCCTTGTGGATGCCTCTTGACCAGAGCCACTGTGTCCGCTAGAGCTTGAGCCTGAAGGTGCCTGGCTCCCCATTGCCGGCTCTGTCCAGCCCTCTGAGATTACACTGGCTTTACCTTGTGTCTGCTTGCTCCACCCTGTTGCTGCCTCTCCCACCATCGTTTTCTCGGTCATAACTGATTTTATACCTCTTAAAGAAACTTCCTGGTGCAGTTAGAGGGTTTCCGGGACAAAGCAAGGTTCTGTTGCCTCTTGTTTATAGAGGTTCCTTGCCGTAAGGATTTGTATATGTGAGTTCCTTTTTGCTGGAACTTTATCTGAAACTGTTCTAAGAACTTCATTCATGGTGGATCAAATTAGGGAGCATTAGCCTTTATGTGTGCCAGGCACAGCTGGAGCCTAAATGCTTGGCCTCTGTCATAGATAGTAGGAATCCTATCCTGGTGACATGTGGTCACCCAGAGCAATCTTCAGTAGGGATGCTCTGACCTCTGATGTCTACTCTGAGTGTTTTCTGTCCACAGAGCCCTCCTTTCTCTTTGACTGTACATTCCAGCTGCTGGGCTAAATTCAGACTTGAAGTTAAGAGCCTATTATTATGGCCTCTGCACCTTCTGCAAGGTCTTGTATGAAGCCTGCCCCACTATGTTCTAGAAAGTGTCACTGAAATAATTTCTTTTGAATAACACCCAAACCCCAGCCCTGGCCTGAGCCTCAGGGCAATGTCTCTTCCACCATGCTTGGGGTTCTAGCCCTTGCTGCTGTTATGAGTACCTCAGGGAAGAATCTCGACCGTGTACTCCAGCCCCCAAACACGTTTATACCCTTCCAATATGGGCCATTTCCTGCCCATGGAGGTATTTGTTATGGATGACATACCCAAATAAATTTTCAAAAAAGCAAATGAAAGGCATTTGCCATCCACCACCCCCAGTTAAGACCTGGCACTTTGACCCTTCCAGTGTGTGAGGTGTGGGACCTGGAGGTTCTTTAAGGATCTTCATTATGCTGTAGAGGCGGCTCAGCTGCTTGTTTCTCCTTCTCTTGCCTTAGTGTGTCAGACAGTGTATTTATGTCATTAACTGTTCCTCAGTTGGAGTTGTCATTCTTTGCATAGATTTCAAACCTAAGGAGAGATGTTTTCTGTGACATTGGTATTTGGAGCTTTTCCCAGGTCATGGCACTTTTGTTCCTGAAAGTGAAGTTTCATCCCTGGGCATTCTGTAAACTTTTGCTGGCAAGTATGGACTCTGCACGCACATGTCACTGATAAGAGATTACGATGCCATCACCAGCAGTGACTGTTGAGGGACACATCCAGCATGGGGACCTTCTTTGTTTTTGTTTTCTGATTTTTGAAACATATGTGTTCCCTTGTTCTGTCTTCTCTCTCTCTCCCTCCCCCTCCCCTCCCCCTCTCCCTCTCCCTCTCCCCCCCCCCCATATGTGTGTATGCAGCATAAAAACAAAGCTTATCGATTTAAAGCAACATGGAAACCACTTGTGTGGGTGATACAGAAATCAAGTATTCTGGATTGCTCCTGGTTTTCTGTTTCCTTCTGGAAACCAGCTTGTGTGTGAAAGCAGGCAGTAACCATGTGCGCTCAGCCTTTTTCCACCCCGGAAATGCCTTGGGCATTTGGTGACCCATCCAGGTCCCAGCCTGAATGGCCTCCAGGTATAGGCACAGGCCTGGCTTCCCTAGTGACTTACTGGTAAACAGGGGCTTTATTTCTAGGTATCATGTTCAGGGTGCCGGGCACATCTAATTTCATGGACATCTTAGTGAACAGTACAGGATAGCCTGAGGTTGGGGAGACTGCCGGGCTAATGGAGTGCTGTTTGAATCTTGGACTGCTGCCGCCAGCTTGGGCTCTCCCTGGCATCTTGCTCTGTCCGTAGTGTGTGTAAACTCTGGCTTCTTCAGCCACTCCAACGTGGGAACTTAGCAAGGCTTGGAGTGTGGCCAGTGTGCTGGACATCATGTGTTTGCTTCCCTGTTTCCAGTCCATCTGCACTTTGGGCTATCTCCTGGGCCTTTTGTTTAAAAACGATGAGGGTGATTATCATCCACATGAATTTACTGATGATAACATTTAGCTTGTTTGGGCCACACTAATTGAAACCGATTGTGTGACTTGTTAAATTATCTTCAGTTTTCTTGGTCAGTAATAATATGTACTTTAAACAGGGCTATTGCTTCTCTTTCCCATCTAATAATTAAGCTAGATGATAGTGATAAGGATGGGCATTCTTTCTCATCCTGACCCTCAATTTAGATGCATAGGACTTACCAAATCTTGTGGTGTTTTGAACTAGGAATTCTAGCCTCAGAAGTGGTCCCTGAAAGTTAGTGTTTACACTTTTTTTAAAAGTGATGACTAGATGTTGTATTTTAAGAAATACTTCTGAGTGTTGATCAAGACTGTCTTCCAAGGGGCTTTTGCCTCTGTTATTGTTGGGTACTTCAGGTCCTCTGACCTTACACAGTGCAGTGGGAACCATTTTGTTACCTTGGGTAGCTCAGGGCCTCTGACGTTACATAATGCAATGGGGTGCCATTTTGTTATGTGGGTTGAGGTAGTAGGCTAAGTTTGGTATAACTGGGAAGTTGAGGATTCTTGGCAGATAGACTTTCTCATGGTCTTTGGCTGCCATTGTGTGGATTTCTCTGCTTTTCTGGAGTCCTGTCCTTGATCATTTGGCCAAGAGGCAATAGCTTTTCTCATGGGCCCTGACAGTTTTACTGCACCCATTGACATTTCCAATTGTGGGCTCCTCTAGCTCCTGGCCTAGGGTAGATTGACAAAAGATACTCCCAGGACCCCTTGTCACACACAGTTCCTCTTTGAGTCCCAGAGTTCTGAGTGTCTGCTCTCCCTTTCCACCTTTCACAGCCTTGGCCTTGTGTTTATTGTGTGTGTGTGTGTGTGTGTGTGTGTGTGTGTGTGTGTGTGTCTGTGTTTTGCTGTTTTGTTGGAACACGGAGGAGGAGTCAGTTCATTCCATCATTTCTACAGCTATACTGTAGTATCTTAATAGTCTGTCTTCTGTTGAGATGTGGGAAGCACCAGAGTCCTTGCTAGGAATCCTTGACTATGAGACTGTGAGGTGCCTTCAGATTACACCGTTCTCCTTTCCACCACCTGGTACCTTCCTGCACCTGTCATGTGATATACAGAAGGGGGGATCACACCCTGGTCCTTTCAACCCAGGCTACCTGTTACTTTTCACCTGCAAAGGCAATAACTATCTGCCTTTGTAACAAGGTCTAGGCACCTCTAGAGTGGGCTTGTGAGTGACGGTGGTTTCCGCATCCAAGTATCCTTCCTGCACATGTAGGCTGGCGGGTGCAGGTGGCTGCTTTTGTCCTGGGCATATTTGCCATTGAATCCCACAGCCCTCTCCACACTGATGTCAAATAGACATTCTGTAATTTGCAATACAGACCTGAAAACCTGAGTGCTGGGTGTTAGACCACAGTCTTTGCCAACTCTGGCCAGCAGGGGGCAGCGCTATGACAGTGTCTCAGAGTTCTGAACCCAGCCCAGACTGCACCACTATTGAGTGCATATGGGTACTTTTGTACAAAGGGTAGAACATTTGATGCTCTTTTCTCTATTTCCATCGTGGCTGCAGCGGAGGGCATTGAGAACAGCCTCGGAGAAGCTCAGAAACCGCTCATCTTTCTCTACCAATGTGGTCTACACCACTCCGGGCACACGTGTCAACAGGTACATCAGCCGTCTTCTTGAAGCCCGCCAGACAGAGCTGGAGATGGCAGATCTGAACTTCTTTACCCTGAAGTACAAGCATGTCGAACGGGAGCAAAAAGTAAGTGACTTGGGACTTCATCCTTTTCCATGTCCCTAAGGACTCTGTGTCTTCGAGATGGATTGATCACTCTATTGTTGGCTCTCCCTCTCCTCCCTCCCTCACAGTACCACCAGCTTCAGGATGAGTACTTCACCAGCGCTGTTGTCCTCGCCCTCATCCTGGCTGCCTTATTTGGGCTTGTCTACCTTCTGATAATTCCACAGTAAGCGCTGTCCCTGTGCTAAGCCACAGTATGGGGAGGTGGCCAAGTATTCCAGGGGTACTGGTTATTTTTCTTGTTTTCTGACTGAATCGCTGACAAGAAGCCATTGAAGGGAAGAAGGGCTGATTTGGGCTTACAGTTTGAAGGTACAGTTCATCGTGGTAGGGAAACGTGGCATCGGGAGACACTTTCCGCTTTGGTAGTGTAGTAGCATGAGGATGTTAGCTCTCATCAGGATGGGTCTGGAAGTGGAGTGTGTGTGTCCTGACCCACTTCCACCCATGAAATTCTACCCATGTAGTGCCACTGTCTGGAGACCAAGTGTTCAAACCCATTTCTCTCTGAGACAAACACTGGGGGTAGACCCGGGTGACCTTATGTCCTCAACATCCATTCCCCAACCCCACTCTTCTGTTGAGCCTGGCATTTGAGGAGGGCATTGGCCGTTTGCCTTTCTTCTTTGCTCACTCTAGTCAGAACTTTGATGAGCTGTTGGCATACAGCATCGTCACTGTTTTTAGTTTTGAATTTGCTGGACTCTAATACTTTGTGTGATTTTTGGCTTTTCCATTCACATGACATGCACCGTTGTCCTCAGAGGAGAACACATGGCCTCTCTGCTTTTTGGGTCCATATCACTTTTAAAAACATTAAAATGAGAAAAAAGTAGACTCCCAAAAGGAAGAAAATATAGTAAATTAAATGGCACTTAACCATCATATGAGTCAGTGTAAGCTTGGCGCTTTTGTTTGAAGGAAGACACCAATTGTCCTTTTCTTCTGGCGTTTGCTTTCTAGGAGGATATACCTTGAGGGCATGGTGTCTCCTTAGAGTTTTCAGAAAGCATGTGCAAGTTCTCTAGATCTGTTAAGAACAGCAAGCCTCAGCTGTGGGCTGCACAGAAGACTGTGAACTTGGCAGTCTACCAGATGCTTTTGTCTAGGGTTTATGTTTTTTTCTAGAAACACCTTTCCCAGACAAATATCAATAGTCCAGCTCCATGAAGTTGAGTACTTTCTCTGTTAGGAGGAAAGGTCTCCAGAAAGTAATGTGGCCAGAAGCCAAGGCTGAACTTTGGGGTGAGGTAATATGGTTGGGGACCTCACCTGGGAGCCCCAAGTGTCTTCACTAGAAGAGAACCAGGTGAAGTAAGTTCCCAGGGGTCTGTGACAAATGGATAGTGGCAATACTTCCTCCTGAGGTTCTGGTCATGGAGGCCGGGAAGAGAGACCCAGTTTTGAGGTACTTATCTGATACATCGTACCTAGCTCCCACCTAGCAGTGACCTGTGTCCTCTGTCTCCAGGAGTGTGGCTGTCCTGCTGCTGCTGGTGTTTTCTATCTGCTTCTTGGTGGCCTGTATCCTGTACCTGCACATCACGCGGGTCCAGGTATGTTTGTGTGTCTTCTACAGGTGTCCAGGTATGTGAGCCTATGTCCAAGACCATGTACCTGAGTATTTTCTGTGTAGTCTCATGGCAAAGCGGTTCCATCCTTCATTCTCAGTGGCAAGTAGAAGATATCTGTCCACGTGGACATTGCTGGTTAAGCCCAGTGTACTGTGCCTGATGCAGGACAATGTCTTGGGGGTAAATATTGCAATTGGTGGGTGTTAAATATTGATAAAAGGGGATCTTGAGGTATTGACTTTGCTACTTGGTTGGAGAGTCCAGGGTAGCTTGTTTTTATGTATCCATATGACTGCTCTAAGGAGGGCATGGTCCAGGTGGGCTGTCTGTGCTGTCATGACCCTGATGCTCAAGTGCAGTTTGTACTTTGGGGGCAAAGGTGCAGCATCATATTCTTGCCTGCTCACCTCCCCGGCTTAGATTTCTTTCTTTATTTTTTTTGATTTTTTTTTTTGGCCCTGTGCTCTTTTCTCAGAGGCTGATCTCTAGCACACCCCTATTGTTGCTGTGAGATCTAGTCTTACTTTGGTGTAATTGTTGAAAACTGCTGCCTCTTGAGAGGATTTAGTCTAGTTTCACTCATTTAACTCCATCGTTATTTCCAGGTACATCTTGACTTTTTTTATTTATTTAAAAGATACCCTATATTCAGATCACATTTACAAATTGTTGGCTTCCATAGGTTGAGTGACATTTAGTTTGAAATTTCCAGCTTCAAATAATGTGGAGATGGTAATTTTTTAAAGCTGTCATTTGTTCTGCATTGATGGGAGCCAGTGTGCCTACTTAATGGAGTACAAACAGCATAATACATGCAAAAAGTATGGAGGTGTGTGTGTGTGTGTGTGTGTGTGTGTGTGTGTGTATGTGTGTGTGTGTTAGGGGGCAGAGAGTACCCCACAGCCCAGGGGACACAGAGACCCTGAAGCCCCACCCAGCACCTGATCAGGGGACCCTAACTCCCTTGGACAGAGTCAGACCACTCTCCCCATGACCTAACATATTGCCAGTAAAACTAATATTGAAGCCCAAACACCAGCCAGCTCAGTAAATGCATGTCCTATGAGATCAACTTGTGATGGCCTTCCCGAAACCACTCCCTGTGAAAACACAGCTGCCCTCCTGGGTGGGGACTCAGACCAGAATAACTCCTGGATATTAACAGTCAAGTCAGCTGTCCCCCGCTGCCCACTCCCAGCCTCACCAAAGAGCAGCATGGAGGATTTCCTAAACTGGTGTTTCGGAAGCATCAGCTCCCACAGCCTTCTCTGGTGCCTGACTTCATGCTGGCTGACACGTGGGAAACAGAGAGGAACCTGCACTCAGCTGGAACGGAGGCAGGTGGAACACAGCTCCCAGAATGATGCACCGGGTCCAGGTGGATGAACTAACGCCGCACATAGTGCCCGGTGTCCACCAGGCTGTGCTGGGCTATGGCAGAGGCTATGGGAACAGACATTGGCATAGAGGCTGGGGGGGGGTGCAGCAGGCAGGAAGTCAGGTCAAGCAGGAGAGAATCCAGCATGACCAGCCACACAGCTGGGACAGATGCCAGGCTATATCTCCAAGGAGCCCATGGCATTAACGGTGTAGCTGTGCTCTCCTCCACAGTGGCCATGGGGACAGTTACAATGGCCCCAGTTCCTAAAGACAACTCACTTCCTACTTACTTCATTGAGCACATTCACAGATTCATTACTGGGCACGGGACAGAGGGGAGTGGAGGGAGAACTCAGGGCTACTTCAAGCCAGATGACTATTTCATTTTGGATGGCCCCTCTGCCTTACTGCTAGTATCAGTCCAATGCTGGTATCCCTTAAAGTGGCCAAAATATGATAGCGGTCCCAGATTTATGTCTACCAGACGGGAACATGCATCTAGAACAGGGGACTCTGTCCTCATGTCATTCGATAGATCCATTAGCCCCCTGCTCAGCATGTTGGCCTCTCCTGGGTGCACTCAGAGGGGTGGAACATGGAAGGTGGGCATATCCATCTGCACAGGGAATCTCCTTGTAGGACCTGACTGTGATGGGGATCATGTCAGTCTCTGGAATCTAAGGGTTGCAGACCCAGGAGAGACAGAAAGCAAGGACACATTTTCTGGCCTGCTCCTTGGAAAATTTCCAATTTGTTCCTATCTGCTGAGGTCCTTTCCAAAGAAAGGAGGTCAGCCCAGAGAGGCAGCTGGACTCCAGTGTTCAATGCCACACTACTGACAGTAGCTAAGACAGAGTCTACCCAAAGCATCCCTTGATTGATGGACAGCATGTCAAAACCATCTCAGTTTCCTATTGCTTCCTGACATAGCTACAGCCAACAGACACCCACAATCTCATCTGTTTGTGGTCTCTCAGAGCTAGAGAGTGGTGGTCCATGCATGTCTCTTGATATCTAAGATATCAAGCCATGGCTTCTCAAAAGTCTGTTTGGTAGAATTCAGTTCTGGGCTACTGTGAGACTCATCCTTTCTTTATTGTTTGCTGCTGTGCCCTCCTCCTCAAACCCTTAGCTGCACAGCAAACCTCTTTAGCACTTTACTCCGCATTCCCTCCTCCCACTGTCCAGAAAAAGCTCTGCTTTTATTTTTTATTCCGCTTCACTTTTAATTAAAAAGTAGTAATCAAATACATTTGTTAGATACAGTATGATGTTACACGTTCTGTTGTAGAATGATTAAATCAAGCAAGTGAACCTATTTGTTATATCACACACAGTGGCTTGTTTGTTTTGTAGTGAGATCATTTAAAATCAACTCCAAGCAGTTTTGAAACATGCACTATATTGCCATTCACTGTAGCCCCTCTACTGTGCAATCCATCACAAACCTCATTCTTCCCAGCTCACTGAAAATTTGTCGCATTTTCCCTTGAACTCCTTACCAGATCTGCTGGCATATACCATCCTTCACTCCACTTCAGGGAACCTGAGTCCACACCTAAGGGCGATCTTGCAGCTGTTTCCGCACCTGATTTACTTTACTTAACGTAACTTCCAGGTTTATCAGTTTTTGGTGCAAACTGAAGATTTGCTCCTCTTATGAGGCTGCGTAGTACTCCACTCTTGTTTGTCCATTTGTCTGTCAGTCAGCAGGATGCCTTAGGTTGGGTTGACTCCATCTTGGCTACTGTGAGCAGTGCTGAGTGAAGGTGGCAGATGCAACAGAGCTGCCTTCTCGTCGCTTTTCTTCTGAGAGAGGACTCCTGAATCCCAGGGAGATCTCAAACTTGCCATGTGGTCATGGGAATTCTGAAACTCCTTCTGCCCTTGAGTGATGAGATTACAGGGGTGTGCCCACATCTTGTATGTAGTGCTGGGGGTGGACTCGGGAATTTGTGTCTCCTAGGCAAGCACCCTACTAGCTACACCACGTGTCCCCTCTTCATCATATTGATTTCTTTCTTTTCGATGTAGAGCCAATAGGAGGATCCCTGGATCACATGGAAGTTCTCTTCTTAGTCTGACAACAGATGGACATTCTGGTCCCTGTGATTGTCAGTTGTTTGATAAGTCACTCCAGTTAGGCCATGGGCATCTCGTTATGGTTTAGTTTCTAGTCTCCAGTGGTTTGTGATGAATGTTGTCCATATATCAGTATCAGACTTCTGTCTATATTCACTTGGGAGGTATATATCAAATAATTTGCCTGCTTAAAAATTGGATTATTCTTTTACTTGCTATTGAATTGTCTGTATTCCATATTTATTTTGGATATTTATCCCTTCATCATCTGCATGCTTTACAGATAATGTCTCCTAATCTGAGTTATGTCTTTATTAGTTATCATAGATGCCAAAGTTCTGTGGCATTGGGCCAGCAATGTTTCTTTGGTTGTAGCTCCAGAAGCATGGGAGTGGGAGAAATGGGCAATGGGTCTGCCTCCAGCTAAAGAGCTTAGGTACAGCAAATAAATCCATGGGATGCATGAGTTACTCCCATCTGAATGACTTGTTACATAGAATCCTTTCTGTTGTGGTGTAATGTCATTTGATTCCAGGCATAGGTACTGGAGTCCTTGGTGTAAGAAATGGGGTGAGGAACCTCCAGGGACATTAAGAACTATCATCTATACCAAATGTGCTAAGTAAATGCTCATTTTGTTAGATTTTATTTTGCTGTAATTTGTAACCTGAATAGAGGTTTTGATAGTTTAACAAACATTTCTAAGGGTTATGGGAGAATTCTAACCTTGCCTGTTGAAGTTACTTTGCATTGTTTCTGCTTATGTGGCCACCCTTCTGGCCCTGGACTATCATGACCTGATGTACTACTTGTATGAGTTGCTAGTTTTGAGTATGTACAGAGTCTTGGAGAACCTGATCCAGGCTTACAAGATACTGTCACCTCCCTGGTGCTGTGTGCATGTGTGCAGAAGATCATTAAAATGTTTTGTGGAGCCTGTTGCATCATGAAACTCCCGTAAGGCTTGTGAATGGTGCCCATTGTTATGCCTAGGTTGTGCAGAGGCTGGAGCCAGGCTGGCCTTGGTGAATGGAAGTCTGTGTTGCTGAGTCTTGAATTCAGTGTTGTTGAGTACACCACGTCCGTCCAATGCCGAGGTGCTGTTGTGTGCCGCCACTTTTGCCAGATAACACCTGGCAGCTCCCTGATAGGCAGCTCAGGGCTTGTGGTAGCTTTGTGGTTCAGGGTTTGACATTCCATTTCTATCAAGTCCCAGTGTTGTCATTGTCAGGGTCTGGGTCAGATGTTTCCAGGTTCTGGGCTTATCCAAAGAATTGAAAGTAAGAGTTCACACAGATTTGCGAAGGAAGCAAGATAATTTTATTGGAGCAAATCCATGGTTTATATTGAAAAGCGATACACTCTCAAGTGGGCCACATGAGGGAGAGTTATCAATGCTTCCTTACATGGGGTTCCAGAGAAGGGGGAATTTGTATTGAGTATGTAAAGTGGGCAGTTCTCTGTTTTGATTGACAGATTAGGTCATATATTTGCTTTTCCTTCTGAGTATGTCCCTTCCCACAATAATATTTGATTTTAATCATATGCATACCTTTTATTTATACCTATGCATAAATGGTAAATAGGTGATTTCCCCTGAAAGGTTGCTGGGGGACATAGTTTGCTTTATTATAAATACAGGATACTAAAATCCCTGCTCTGCTGGCCTGCCTCCATAGCAGCAGGTAAAGAGCTGCTCTTAGGAGTCATTATCTGGACTTGCTTCAAGGTCTTGCTCCTGGGCCTGTGGGCACCTCTGGAGGGGTTCCCTACCATACTGATAGGAGCTGGGGAACATTTCTCTCATGATCAGGGACTTGCAGCTGCGCCTTCCCCAGCGGCAGAGATCAAGAGGGAAATACAGGGAGGCAAGATCAGAAGGGTCCTTAGACTTCATAACCTATGGTGCCTGTTCTGTCTGAGGTTAGCCGAGACCAGGGTTCTGGAGAAGCACTGAAGGGTCTGGACCCAGAAACCCAGATCAAAGACCTTCCAGCTATCTATGCTGTCCATACCACTCTGTCCTGACCCCAGAATCTATAGTGCTGGGCTTGTTTTATAGGTGGAGGTCTCCCCCAATTTTTAAGCAAGAAAAGAAATACCGCCAGCCTTGTGGCAAGGATGGTGAAAACTGCTATGTGTATTGCCATGGAATCCTGCAGGCCTAGACTGTCTGCACATGTTGCTTTCTGTGAGGGGCTATATGTGTACATTGTAGTCTACATTCTTGTTTTTAGGACTGTGAGCATAAAGGACTCTGTGCTTTCTCCTTGAAAGCACCTGCTAAATATTTTAGACTGTATTAAAAATTTCTAGTAATTGAAGAATTATATTAAACCTGTTAGTGATGATAAACTTTGAAACCATGAGAAAGAGAGAGAAACAGAGGTATAGATAGATAGATAGATAGATAGATAGATAGATAGATAGATAGATAGTAAGTAGAGAGAGGGAGGAAGTGTATGGAATGCCTGAGGTTGGAGAAAAATGCATTATAATAAAACACATTATAATAAAAATGCTCAGTTAATATCAGTGCCAGTCAAGGTGCCTAGGAGAGGAAGATGGGTGTTTCCCCTTTAAATTTAAATGCTGTGGCGTGTGTGTGTGTGCGCGCGCGCGCGTGTGCGTGCGTGTTGATTTTTTTGCAAGTTCTTCACATGGGAAATAAATAAAAATAATCAAGGCCTCTGCACAGAGGATGGAGGTCTAGTAAACCTCTAGGAGCAAGCAGGGGACTCTACACCCTGCTGCAAACACCAAGTTACTTCCTAATCACAGCAGTGTGGGACACTGGAACTGCACCCCAGAGCTTTACACATGCTAGGCAACGCCACCGCTGAGCTGCTGCAGCCCTCACCCTAAAGTGAGGTTTTCTTGTTCAGTGTTTTCCAGGGTGCCTGACGATCCAGATTCGCACTGTGTTGTGTATATTCATAGTGATCTTAATCTACTCAGTAGCTCAAGGATGTGTGGTGAGTATCACTAACTTTTGGCATATGCAGGGGCATGAGCAACAGGCCAAAGCAGCTGAGCCAGGAACTAGGAGACATAGCCAGGGTGGTTGGAGTGGAGGGCACTGCAACCCAGGATGGAGTTGCCTCGCTCGGAGACCAGGAAGGAGCTGGTACTACCTGGTCCACCCTGCTTGCCCCCTGCCAGGAGCCCCTGCAGGCTTCAGCAGCAGAGGCGGTTTGAGGCCTGACTGGTGGTATCAGAGGTGCAGGGGGAGGGGTGGCTACTGCAGAAGACTGGGAGTTCAGCGAGCCTGGGACACTGGGGCCTTCTGAGGGGCTGCTGTACTTTGCCTAGGCCTTCCTAAGCCTTCATGCCCTTGCTCCCCAGGTGGGCTGCCTGCCCTGGGCCTGGAGCTCTCAGTCCAACAGCTCCCTAGTGGTCCTTGCAGCCGGAGGCCGGCGCACTGTGCTGCCTGCTCTGCCCTGTGAGTCTGCGCACCATGCCCTGCTCTGCTGCCTGGTGGGCACCCTCCCACTAGCCATATTCCTGCGGGTGTCCTCCTTGCCAAAGATGATCCTGCTGTCTGGGCTGACCACATCCTACATCCTCGTTCTGGAACTCAGTGGCTATACCAGGGTTGGGTGAGTGTGGTGCCCCAAGGAAAAACTCTAGACAGGGAGGTGTTAATTATTCTCCTCTGATAATAGTTTGCATTAGTCACTATTATTCTTAATCATCACCTCAATTACTAACTCTACAATCATCGAACTCTCTCCCTCCCTATCTCTTACACACACACACACACACACACACACACACATACACACACACACATACATGCATGTGTCCATGCGCACATGCATGTGTACCAATTAGTAAGCCAATGTGAGCCAAGTACATATAATTTTTTATTTAGTTAGTGACTTTTTCCATTTCTGTTCTTTAGTCCAGACTCTAGCAATGCCTCTAAGTTTGGCCTCACTACCTAGAGATGGCTCTCTGCCCAGACCTAGGGTCTGGCAGCCATGTCTTGCCCGGAAGCCGACACTGATGGGGTTTCTTCTCCACCTCCCCAGGGGCGGTGCCCTCTCTGGGCGCAGCTATGAACCAATCATGGCTATCCTGCTGTTCTCATGCACACTGGCCCTGCACGCCAGGCAAGTGGATGTCAGACTGCGGCTGGACTACCTCTGGGCAGCACAGGTAAGTTGAGCGTTCTGTCTCCTGGGGCATGAGATGGCCGCAGGGAAGGTAGCACAGACACTCACTGGCCATGTGGCATGCTGAAACCCTTGCTCAGTAGTGCAAAAGAGCCAGAACTATTCGGGGACTTATCCAGAAGGTCTGTCCTCAAGGCTTGAGTTCTAGGACTGGCGCCTGTGGGATGGCTGTAGAATGTTTGGGCTGGAGACTGCAGTTGGAGTGGCTCTGTTGTGAGGCAGCACCTTAGGGCATCTGTGGGGACTGGATGTGGCCAGGAGCCTGCCAGAGTCCTTTAGAAAAATGAACATGTCAAACCTCCCTCTGCTCACCCTGGACCTAGTAATTTTCAGGGAGTTTCTGACAGGAGTGGCGGGAGGGCCTCTTCTTATGAAGACTGTGTGAGCTACTCGGGCCCTGACTATCTGGGCACCAGGCAGGCTGTCACATTGTCTGTACTTAGCTTTCTGTTCACTTGTAAGGAAAGTGCTAACTGAGGGCTGCTTATTTGGGACCATGCTCACAAAACCACTGTGGGAAGTGTTAAGGTTTACCAGTGTCCATGGCAGGGCAGAGAGGGGCTGCCTGGTGCTGGGGTGCACGCACGCCTGCACATCACGCACAGACATGCGCGCACAAACACCTGCATCTGAGAACCGAGGTAATGAAGCATTTGATCGCTTGCCCAGGCGTGGCTCTCATCTGCAGAACTTGCAGTGGTCTCCCAGCAGCAAATTGTCTCATGATCCTTCCTTACCTGAAAAAGAAGGGTGACCCGAGCCCCAGCAACAGCTAGTCTTCTGATTTGGATGTACTCGGAACAGCCCTTTGCCTTTAGAGCAGCCAGTCGAGCTTTCTCAGTTATAAGAGCAGCACTGCCCAGGAAATGAAATCTCACGTGAGAAAACGGGGTTCACAGAGGGACCTGCGGGTGTCAGCCTAGGCTGTGCAGCCAAGGCTGAAGGTTCCCAGCTCTGGGTGAGCTGGGGCTCAGATGCCAGATAGGTAGGGGCAGTGGGAGGAGCCAGTGTCTGTGACACAGAGGTCCCCTGTGGATTCAGGAGTCTTGAGGAAAACCAGATGACTGTGGTTGTGAGACCAGCTCTGACATACTTGGTGGAATGGGAAATCCTGTTGATTTGTCGCTTTTCCTGGGGCTGAGTTGAACAGCAGGCTGTACAGTAGGACACAGACTGGCTGGTAACAGCAGGAATGACAAGAGCTGGGCGTGCCATGAAGTAGTCCGGGTCGCAGATTCCAACAGGTGGTACTGGCCAAATTCTCTAACCAGCAGTAAAATAGAGTGAGAATCCATAAAATGGAGTGCATTTCTCCTTCTTGGCAACCAGTCCCTAGGCCTGGCATGACGAAGCATGCTGACTTCTCCTGGCTTAGTTATGTAGATGGCCCTGTCCCTGGGCTACAGGTCATTAATCCTGTGGGGTGGCTAGTTCTTGCAGCACTTACCATAGACCCACCTTATCCGGAAGCAGGAACCAAGGAGCCTATTGGTTAGTAGCATCCAGGTTGGCGGGGGGGGGGGGCCCTGGTGACGGCAGTCGCCAGTTCCTGGAAAGGAGACCTGGCCAGTTGCATTTTGCCCTAGTCACACCAGGTAATGGGAAGAGCCTGCATGGCAGCTGTGGCATTGATCGTGGTCTTTGTAACCCAACTGGCTCCTGCTATGGTCCTTCCTGGTCCACTGACTCTTGCCATTAGCAAGAGCCATAGCGAATATCTACTAGAGTAAAATGCACACAATGATGTGGCTGGAAGGCCAGCCTTGGCACAATATGGTGGGAGTGTATAAGGTTGCGTACTAGGGAGGGTGTCCAGTTGGTTTACAGTCTAAGCAAGTGAGAAAGAGGCCTGCCTATGAATTCCTTCTAAGGGAGTGATCACATCACCCCTTGGGTAGGCATTTTTCTCGTATGGACTGGCACGGCATTTTCTTGGATTTGATTATTAAATTACGGTATCATTATTAAATTCAGTATTTAAATGTTATTAAGTCATGTGATTCTCCATCCAGCCACACCTTCTTACTACTACTCATTACATATAAGTTTTCAGGAAGTGTGGAACACAGGTGCATTCCCTCAAGTGTGGTCCTCACGCTTGAGTGTCGTGATGGGAGGGTTGCTAATGGAGCACGCTGACACACTTTTTCCATAGACAGGTAACAAGAAACATCACCTTGCCTTCCCGTAACCCCAGCAAAACATGGAGCTTTCAGGACTTTGTCTGTTTGCCCTCTGGATATTTAGTCAGGTTGTGGAGACATGTGAGCACCTCAAACTATTGCCTCATTGTCCGGACAAACACTAGCCAGGTTAATTATTTTTGAATACCACATTGGCCATACAACCCTATATAAACAAACAGACTTTACTTTGCCCTTGGTGAAATTCTCTGGCTCTTTATCTTTAACTATTGGCATAATTCTTTCTCAACATTGTTTTCTTTTTTTAGTTTTTTTTTTTTTTTTGAGGCAGTGTGTGTGTGTGTGTGTGTGTGTGTGTGTGTGTGTGTGTGTGTGTGTGTGTGTAGCTCTAGTTGTTCTGGAACTCACTCTATAGACCAGGTAGGCCTTGACCTCAGAGACCATGCTGCTTCTGTCTCCCAAGTGTTGGGATGAAAGGTGTGCATCACACCCAGCAACCAACATTCTTTTCATTGAATTAGTAGATAGAATCCCTATGACAAATGTAATTCTAACTTTATATTCATTTGTGTGGATGGTTTTCACTTGTTTGTTTACCAATAAACAATCTCAGGTGAATTCCTGTCTTGCTGATGCCATCACCAACTCTGAGAAAGGTTGCCTGTGGACTGACTTCCCATCAGTAGAACTAGATCGGACCCTGTGGCATTTCTTACTTCACTCCACTGGTTTTTGACCATGCTTTTTTTTTTTTTTTTCCTGCACATGTATGGTCTTAGCAGGCTCTTTACATCATCAACTTAAGGTTCTTTTCCTGGGACTCTGAAATTCTATAGTACATGTCTCCCTTTTCTCCTGGTTGGCACACACTTATGTCAGGGCCATGAGTGGGCTGGATGATTTACGATTAGCTCAAACTAGGCCCCACCTCTTAAAACTTGATATCTCTTATTACTATGCTGTAAATGATGTGGGGGGGGCAGTTAGCATGCTGCACGTATACAGAGATGAGAGGACAACTCTGTAGACTTGATTCTGATTCTCTCCTTCCATCTTTGCATTGGCTCTTCTATCAGGCATATGCAGCGAGCACCTTTACCCACTGAACCATCTCACCAGGCAAAGCCTCACTCCTTATAGGTCCTACCACCTCTCACCACCACCACCACACTGAGGACTGAGTTGTGTGCAATGCCCCCTACACACACACACACACACACACACACACACGCACACACACACACACACACACACACACATCTACATACAACCCTGGGAACAAACCACCCAAGAGCAGGGTAATAGTTTCCTGAGAGGCCTTGGTCGAGTTAGAGTTGTTTCTTCCGTAAATGTTAGGTGGAGTGAAATGAATTCTCTGAAGTGGTTGCTTTATTTGTTGTCTAATGAGGAGGTGCTAGAGTAAAATTCAAGTTTCCTAAAAACACGAGGCCCCCTCCACCTCCCTTTGCTTCCTGCAGTGGCTTTGGGAGTTTGATCCCTGACAACTGCTCCTTGTTGACTTAAAATTGGCCATAGCGTTCCTTGCTGTCCCTTTAATATTTATGGGGCCTGATTGTACTATTTAATCTCTTGTGATTGGTCGAAGCTGAATTTATTGTTGCTTTAATTCCTTTTAAAGGTGACCTGAGAGGGACTTTTCCTTTCTAAAATAGAGGTTCTTCTCGGTGTTAGTGATGTGTCCCAAGAGTGGCCACAGTGGTTCAGGGAATGCTGGCATGTGGTGTTACTTCATGTTCATTTGCTCCAAAGTATTCTCTGATTTTCCTCTTCATTTCTTCACCCAAAGAGGAGTGTGTTCTTTGCTCTGGAAGATTCTACAGAGATCTGGTAGTTATTAACTTCTAAATTCATTTTACTGTGGCCAGATAATATGTACTTTCATATATGTGGCTTGAATGCTGTTAGTTCTCTTGAGACTCACTGCACTGTCCATGTCCTGTGTGCCCCAAACAGCATGTTTCCTATAGCTGTTCAATGGTGTTTATTAAATCTTGATTGAGTCAGATTTTTCATGGAAATAGCTCCAGAACAGAAATGAAAGTTCATCAGAACATGATTCTGATCCTACATTTTGGAGCCCTACTCCCCAGAAGAAAAACAAAAAGAAACAAAACAAAACAAAACAAAAACCCCAACCAAACAACAACAGAAACCCAGTTTTATAGAATGGCTAGAAAGAAAATCGGCATGACCACTACTGGTCAAATTCTTGACTGGATTGTACCGCAGTGACTAACATGCCCAACATGTCAGTAGCGTTGACTAGCCAAGATGCATTGTTCTTCCTACTACAAGTCTGTGCGGGTCAGCCATGGCCCACTCCATCATAGTCCTCAGACGACACAATGGGCACACCATCCAAGAGTGCACCATAACCCCTGTCTTTAAGGGCGGCACTTCCACCCTCCAGTGGTGACTGGAAGTCAGTGGAGAATGTTAACAACATCCATCTGAGTACATTCAGAGAGGATGGGGAATGTTGGAGTCTGTTGTGGGCGGGAGGGCTCACCTTGCTCTCAGGCCCCTCTGGTATTACATAAAAGGGAGATTTATATGGTCAGCCATTCCAGCCCAGTCTGCTTGGCCTGAGCCAGCCTGATCTAAGAGGTAGTGACACCATGGAGAGTTGGAGGCCCTATCTGATCTTTGTTCTCACACTGTGGTCTTTACATGGAGAGAAGGTATGTGTCTTACAGTGTGCCCTAGCTTATGTGACAGTTACCAAACAAAGGAAGGTTAGGGTTGTTCTTAGGATCTTTTAGACAGGGCCTTCTATGGCCTATACTGGCCAGGACTCAACTGAAGACTTACTTGAAGG